AGGAAAATATGCAGCGCCATTACATGTTATATTACGAATTTCAATGTGGGATGAACATGGAGATTCAGAAGCAAAGCGAACTTTGTAAACGATACACAGCTATTATTACACAGGTGTTTGTTATATAGTAGCTATATTGTATCTTTAAAAAAATGCTTATGAGTTTACTTATACTTATATCGTCGCCTTTATCCATTTGATATAATCTTTTTACTCATGACGTTGTACCACCCTATATGAATATGATGTGATTCAGCTTCTCCCATTTCTCCCTCCTGAACATGCGCAACAGGCAGTAACAGCAATGGAGCGAGCAAAACAGGTGAGGTCACAAGAGACTAGTTTTTATTTTTTATGTAGGCTTTATTCCTAAACTGTTTGCTTAAATAGAAAATATATCCATTTTTTACTAATGCTCTTTTCAAAAACTATATATATTTACATAACTGTGTTAACATGTGAAGTAGTGAGCATGAGTGCTTAGAATCTTATTTGAAGCAATATTTTTGTGTGTGTCTTATCTCTATGAACACTTTCAAATTTTAAGATTCTGCAGATCTCTGCTCAAGAAGTGGGTCAGCTAATGCAGTCGAATGCTCACTCACAACAAATGGCAGCGATGATGCCTGCAATAGCCGGGATACCGGGTGCACTGGGTATGCCACCTGTGGGTTTCCAACAAGCCCTCGCCGCTGCAGCCATGGGAGCGGCTCATCGAGTACCTGAAGCCAGCTCTTCGACCGCTCCCCCGGATAGACATGATCAGCCAAGCAGACAGTCGAGGTATGTTTATTCTCCAATTATATTTACCTTTCACTATCTATCCCCATATTTAAATCCAAACGATCGATAGTCCTAGGAGTAGCATATTTTTCCGCGCTCTTTATAGTTAGGCCTTGATTCCAGTCAGTTCAATCACTTAGACTCTATCGCCTGTCTGAGCGTACATGATTGGTGGAATAGAGAAAAGCCTACCTTTGTTTCGAACAATTCTTGGAATTTTTTTTAGTTCACGTCCACGCTCCATTTCCCCCAATGGTTCGACATCTAAGCGGATGAAGGTGGACGAAGATGCGGATGGTGAAGGAGAACTAGAAATTGACGTACAAAATGATGACGCCGGTGCTGCTGGACATTCGAACGGTACTAGCA